GGAAATTAGGTTGATTTGGATTTTTATCATTATTAACCCCACATTTTCAAAACTGTAAGCAAAATGGATCAATATTGCATACAGTTATAGTGAGTTTATGATCAGTTCAGTTCCGATTTTACACCCATGAAACGTACATTTTCATGCACAGGTACCCGAGGTTGTTTGGTGGTTCGAAAAACTGAATCTGAACGGATTCAGTGAGGATTGGAAATCGGAGAATCGATCATTTTTGAAATACTATTAAACAATCGATACGCAAGTGGTTATTTAAACCAAAGGCGCTTTTTCGGTGTCCACGTTTTTGAAATTGTTCTGATCCTTATATTCTATTTAGCTGTATCACTGGCTCATTGATTATATAACAACACTGACATTGAAATGGGTAAAATATGCAGGCGCTACATTATAAAACAACTTTTGAAGGTCCTTGCACGTTCAAAAGATATTCTGCAAATCAGAAGACTATTCTGTTTCACTTTACCCGAGAATGACCTCTAGCCACCACGAGTTGAGTGTTAAAGTTGTGAATCCATGCGTGCTCCATCACTCATGGTACTGCAAGCCAATAATTTTGCCCGATTTGCTGGTAAAAGACTTCCACTCCCCATAGTACATCTCTAAACTCAGTGGCATTTCTAGAGACAGGCCGGTGGACTTTATCGTTGACAGACACCTCAAAACATGTGAACATTTTATTTCGAAGTACCCAAAAGTTGAAGACAGTATCTACATTACGCACATGGTCGATGTTCGAACGTTTATTTGTTCGTACCCTTTCGTGTTCCAGCTGTGACTTTCCCCAATTTTTCTCATCTATACTTACGTGTACTGAATACACAAGGATGAATTTTCCAATCCCGGGGAAGCGGTCAATCAAAAGGCTGCCATCCAACGCAAAATGGAGAGATCAGGCTGTGGTGGTGGTGTGAGGTGAGGTTCAAGCACTCGTGCTCCGGGGGGACAATTTGATGATTTTTACCATCGGGTCACCACCACCCATTGCCATCTGTCGCCCATCGTTCTGTTGACATTGTGAAACTAAGTGGTTCAATGATGAAGCCAATTTCACGTCTGTGGTTATGGTTTTGAGTCGTGGATTCACCGAGAAGATCCACGAAGCATTGCACAACTGTTTTGTTGCGAATTCATCTGACACCGAGGTTAGGGATATTGAGGCACTTTGGTTATCCGCATTTTCAACTACCAGCTAGCTACAAGTAGGCTCATTTTTGACAGGCGTCTTATGTTCCAGTGTAACCGGAATTCGTTAGATACTGATCAACATTCCGATGAATAGCTCCTCACGATTGAGGGAGAATCCTCAGTCGCAGCGTTGCACAACGCAGTACAGCTGACGGCTGTGTTCAGATGTTTCCGCTCTGGAATTTCGAACGTCCCCTTTAAGAGTTCTTCTACGATTGTTGAGGCCACAGCTTCCGTCGGAGTTCACTGGAACTGTTCCTTTTGTCATTGGGTATATGAAATGTTTATAATAGAGCAGACTGCATTTTTATCACTTCACAGTTCATTGCTTTTGGAGATCTGAATGAGCGTGGCAATGTGCAATGCTCGTTCACTGTGATTGTAGCAAACATCGTTCTTATATCTTGCGCAGTTATAAAGATGCATCATTCATCACCTTGGAAAACATTGAACTCTTTAGTGTTTATCACGAGCTGGCAACCAGTGTCTTGGTGTTACGCGGTGTGCCTGACGTACACACTAAGAGATTTTCCAAATCAACTTAGTCTTGCACCATATGTTACTTGATGTATTTGATGACCACGATCCGGTTTTTCTATCTTTTTCACCTTCATCTTTGCTGTCGGCTTCCAGTTTACTGGCCTATTTGCAGGTGAATTTATTTTACGCATAGATTTTGATCAAGTTCCGAATTTCGCCTGGTATATTTGGTAGCTTTGGCCGTACTGATAAGAAAGGAGTGCACCTGGAAGTTGGATGATAGCCCATAACATATATCTATGAATTTACAGTTGCGAATACCATGGTGACCAATCAATTTAAACAAGGAGCGATTCCTTAGCTTCACAATAGACCATTGTTTCCATTTCATGAGACGAGACAGTAGACTTACCAATAAAAAATTCATCTCTTTCGACGTGAAGCCATGTGGACTGCCCTTTTCAAATCGTTTTTCCAACGGTTCCTAGATGGCAGTACAAGTGAAGTGACCAAACAAAATATTAATGAACAGGTGTGACATTGCGATTATTACGAAAAACGTTTGTGAAAGATTGGATGAAATGGTTTGGTGAACTTACCAGATCCGTCACCGAGGGAACTTGTATGCCAGAGAAATATTTACTTTGTTCAAAAATTTTACGATGACGCGGATACAGATTCCCTGATGCGAGGATACAGACGAAAATGGAATAAAGCGATAAATTAAATGTATCGTAACTAATGTAAACGGTCACTTAAGAGAAACAATAAATCATTTATTCGTAGTAATCGAGGCAATAGCATTTGTAATCGACCCGGTCCATTTGTTTTGAAATGAATGTAGCGTTATTTATTGTTTTTTAAGAACAATGTCTACATTTTCAAATATGAGAAAACGTGTGCTGAAGACACGAACAGGATTCAACACCATTTCGAGTCGTATCTAATAATGTAAGTCAAATCCCCGATAACTGTTAGCAGGTATTTTATATTTTAATCCCCTTTTTACAGTGGTTATTCATGGGTGTAGATTAGGCTGTGCCCTGCATCTGTTATAAAGCAAATCTATTCATCAATTGAACACATTTACAGCAATCTCTTATCATTCATCTATGTGCACCTAGGGTCGTTGCCGAGCTGAATTACAGCTAAGTATGGAGGCCTCATATAGGGTACCAACCTGACTTGTTCAAACCAATGCTTTTGTCCCGACCGAAGATCGCTCATGATCAAAATGTCCATGCGACTGACCAAGGTGATAGTTCTTACGAGTGCAACATAAATCGTATGTTTTTGGCTTTGATTTCCCTTCTGACACATCTCTAAAATGTTGAACTTATCTGAACTTTATTCACCTCACTGAATTTGATTCTCGAATAAATGTGCTTTTTAAGGCTTGAGAATGAAATCCCCGACAAATTTTGCGACTATCTTGACCACATTCCGAGAAACGTTCAATTCAAGCTCTTCGTTTTCCCTGGAAAAATAAAAGGACACGCTCATACATTCCTAATCTGTCCTGATCCCTACAGTTCACTTAATATTTCAACTATACACAGATAACACACAGCCGATAAGGTCGCCAATATCGTTCATTCCCCCACCAAAACCTTAGAGTATGACTACGAGGCGAAACAATTGACGCATTCAAAATTCCGTTTACTGAACCGCTTCAATGCAACCACTACCACTACGTCAATGAGTCGATTTGTCTACTTAGGAGGCTGGCTCATCACAACGGGCTGGGTTGATAATTTGTTTCCTTTTAACTGATCCTCACCAGGCTGCAATTTCCGCGGTTTGTTGGAACGCACGCAGTTATGTGAAAGTTACATGCTGTAATTAAGGACAAACCCCAGTGTTCTACTGATGATAACGTATTAAGCGTCATTCTAATAGTTAAACTGTCCATAGTTTTCATGAGGAACGACTATATAGAATGAAAAGCCTTTTTTATATGCAATTTCCTTGTCACCTTATTATTCAGGAAAGAGGGTATGCAAATTAGGACATCCATTTAAATTCGATTTTAAGAAATATTACGTGTATAAAATAAATACTAGATTATGCTCTGGCAAAAAATATTCACGTTTTTGAGTGTTTCCAAATGAGTTTAACGAAGTATAATCAAACATAGAAATGATACCTTTCAGTTTCTCTAAATTAACGGTATACATTTAAGTAATACAACTAAATCATCTCGTTTTATATGCGCAATCATGTCCAGATCAAATGACCTGATTGCCTTGAAGTTGATTAACAATGTGAAAAACTGAAAGGTCTAATCTAAACATTGATCATCTAAATTGATTGAGCCATTCGTACAAGGTGATAACCGTCAACCGTGTAGCTCTGGAATAAGGTTTTGAAGTCCCAACCCAAATGTTTGTGGTTCGAGTCTTGACAGGGACACAAAAGGCGCGCACTGCTGACGAGACCCAAACAGGACGAACCAACTGTCCGGTGCTCTTTGCCGGTTATCACAAACACTTCCACTGCATTTCAATTGATTGGCGATGTTCACAATGTTTCTTTTCCAAAATCAGTGTGTATGAGTACCGGTTTTTGGCATTGTTATAACTGAGGAGTATAAATGAAACGTTAACATCCAGCAGTATTCGACCCACCTCTAGTCTAACACATGTTCCACAGTTTATCCTTATGCTGTATGTTTATCTGTGCCATAATGTGCCTAGAACAGGCATTTTGGGTGACATACTGTACCTGACCGATATCAGTTGACCAAAGGTGTAAACTTTCCAATAGTACACTGCCTCTGTTCTTACGGCGAATGAGGAGATAGAGGACAAGGAAAGCAACAAATGATGAAATTCCATCCGGAAGGTTGTTTTGTTCTTGTTCATCTGAGTATATATTTTGAGCTGACAAAGACCAAAAGTCACTCTTCCGTTAATCATGGAAGTCTGAATACACCTAAACCTCTGTCTCTAATTGTCGCCTACCGAGTTAAATTCACGAAACAAAAGTTACTGGGTTCCCGATGAGTAAGTACCTCTCGCTATGAGAGCCATACCTTGTATTGCCTGAGTATTGATGGCTTATCGTAAAAAACATTTTCATCTCCCAATCGTTTCACCTCTGTTACTATGGTTACCTTCTACTTAACTATGTTAGCTCGTTTTCCTACAATACATACAGTTATTCAAGCGATCTCTACATGGTGTCAGATGCACCAATAATCTGTCTTCCTTAATAAACCCAGACAGTTACCATGCACCACAGTTTGGTTTTAACGTGTGATTTCATTCGTGATGCTCTGGTTACAGGCACACGACCATTCTGTTGCTTCCAAATTAAGTCCAGACTTGTAACACGTGATCATCAGGAGACTGTGAGTTGATAAGGTTGCTTAACAACCAAGAACGGTGGTGCAGTTGAATGGAGACCAGACCATACATAGTATCCGGTCCTAGTGGGTAAAACGTGAAGCAATAGTTTTAGTTAGAACCACTGAAAGGCACTTATGTGAGAAGGGGGTAAGTAAAAGACTCAGCTAGGCTTAGCAAGTGCAGTCAGATAGGTAATTAAGTCTCACAAAGGTTACACGATAGGTTTCAATGTGTGGAACGAACTTTGTCAAATTCACAGTTCACCTAAGTATAGAATATGTTTATTATGCAACTTTTCCAGTGTGCCTAACACTCCCGCCCCCTCCGGACATACTGATGAAGACCAGTTTTTGATCTGTCCGCTTCAATTGGCTCCGAACCTGATAAGGTAATCATATTAATGTTAAGCCTGCTCCGCTAATTGCCAGTGATCATTTTCACTTTCTTACAGCCAGAAAAGCTCAACATTTCATGTGTTGGTGCCCTGAAAAATTGAAACTAGAAACATGATTTAATGGCATTTTAAAACGGTTTAGATAACTTAGTGGACAATGTCAGTAAAATGGTCATATCTAAGACATGCACATGCACACTGTACAAATAAAACAGGAGATAAGTTAAGATACGATCAATGGGTAAATTTACGGAATGTATCCGTTGCAGACAGTCAAGGCATGAAGCAACCACTTCGCAAACTAAAAATTTAGCTGTTTTTAACATGCGCTCAAAGGTCCTTGATAGTGAGAGAGGCCATACTTTTCAATTTCACTTCTGAAATACTGCATTTATGCCGGACTTCCGTCAATTCAGTATGGCGGGGCTATAAAAGGTACATATCAAATATTGAATCAATCACCCGGGTTGTACTCTACGAGCATTCGCCAAAAACATTTATCTTAGGGAACGCCTCCACCTAGGTTCAATTTTATTGTTTACCTTTTATTATCTATGGAACTTTCTATTAGTCCAAGTTGGTTGTTGTTAACCACTGCACCCGAATACCACGTTTTTACAACTAAGTGGCAACGAAAATACTATTTACTTTACGTGTTTAACCAAGTAAATCTATCACTCAGAAGGTCTAGATGTTGTTCAAATCCATGTATTGTATTTTCCCGGCGGAATATCTGATATTGATAGGTTGATCGCAATTCTGCATGTATCCCAGTTGGTGGATGCGCACACGGTCGGTTTGCAGATGTCATTTCGATTTTATTGTGAGAGACAATTCTGATCCTACTGGTTGTATTTCTGCGCATGCCACCCTGATGATAACTGAAACACCCTTACAAGTGTATATATATGCATCAAGAAAACACTTTTCGTACCAGGTTTAGTTTTTAGTTATTCTGAAAGGAAACTGAGGCATGAACGTCGAACTGCTATCCTAGTCACGTTCACTAGGGGGAAGAAAACAGCAAACAACATCTGAGTTGACACAAGCAAACAGAGCAAGATGTTGCCTTAAATGTATCAAGCAAATATTTGAAGTTAACCAATGAAGTGTACTTGTTAGTGCAATCGCAAGGTAGATAGATAGATAGATAGATAGATAGATTAATATGATTCCTTTTGCAGAAGTGAGGTAATTGTGGTAGGGAAAAGACTGACAGATGAGTTCATAACTTTCCAGCGCGTGATTCTCTGGGTTTGGCTAAGAACCACCAAGCAATCCAGAACATGTTGAAAACTAAACTTATTTCTTGGAATTTTTACTTATACAGGCTGACGGTTATGTGCATTCTTGATGAGCTTCTTTAAATTAATGTCAGTGGAAATCTCACGCATGTTCCTATTGCAAGCTGGTTGTGCTAACGTGTGAGAGTAAACCAAACGAGGTTTCATGTATTGCCATTTAACCAAGCAGTGTTTGAATTGTATTTACTGAGATACATTGTACTAAATCGTGCAAAGTGCTTATTTTAATGTTCTAATCTTATCACTGGGGCTGATTTTGACAGTGTTCCTCAAAATCTTCACACTGTTGTCTAGTGTTTTACTTCTGCAGATGACTTTTGGACTTCATTCATTTGAAACGGCCTTTGGTGCAGGCGAAATGATCCTGCATGGGTGCCGTACATACTAGGCTTGGGGTGCATATATGTCCCTTTGAAATTAATGAAAGCCCTTCATGACTAAATTATTCATTAATCAATTGAATAACAGGGATACCATTCTTCCCCTTGATCGTGCAAGATCAAATATACCTGAGGTGTAGTACAAGTGAAACCGGGTTGTTACTGTCTGTAAGAGCAACGGGTCATATTTGATTTGTGCAAAACACTCGTGTTTTGATGATAAAGCAATTGGATTTGTAATCACCGTTCCCACGCAGAGCTTCTCGCGTTTTCCAATGAACACATAGCTTACTACTCACCTCAGTGGTCCCGAGGACTAGCTGTGTGCTATTGATAATCGTTATTTCAAGATAAAAACACGGTTTATTACCCTAAATCCTATGTTCTAATCGCCTGCGATATTTCAGATACGCACAGTAAACGCCTGAGTACTTCTTGTGAATGCCACTTCTGAATATCTTCATAGTTCTGTAAATCATACGTTTTTACAGATTAGTTCATTTGTACCTAAATAATTAAAACTTTCGTATTGACATATATGACCGTTTGATTATTTTTCACGCTTTATCGTTTTTATCGCATTATTGTATTTAATCAATATCAGATTTGAAGCGCTGAGTTCTCTTTATCCCTTTGTTCAATATAGAAAGAGGACAAATGTCTCGAAATGTTAACATTTGGTTTATTCTACTCAATCGCTGACTTAAAACAAACAGGCACATATATAACGTATGGAGTTAATCAATTATGGTGAACGGACGTTTACAAGCATATAAAGATTACTAAATATTGAAGTAGAAGGTCAACTCAATGGTAAGTGGATTGATTTTATCAAAACCGTTTGTGTGCAAACGTTCGAGTGATGTAATCGAATAAGCAAAGCTTCATTAATCGTCGAACATTTAGCATCACAATTACGTAATAGTGGTTTGGAAGACAAATTGTAGTCAATTGTACGTCTTGTTGTCATGACATGTTTCACAACAGATGACCTCGGATTTAGTGTGGTTACTTGGCCATCGATTGTCGTTTTCGTCATCGATTTCATCAGCCATTTTGACCATGCGTTGTGAGAACTGACGGTTTGTTCTGTCTATGTATGTGTCACCTCAACAGCAGATGAACTGGTATACACTGGGTGAGACAAAACCGGTTTGCTAGTCATGTTTAGGTTTGTCGAAATCAATTTCATGAATAGCCGCAGTGATTCTGAGTTGAGCAGCTGGGAATGTATGGTCTAGAGCTGACCTCAGCTTATGACGCACATCACTGTGAATGCGGTCTTCTCTGAACGCAAGCTTTGAGTAGGTGGCCCTTTTTTGCCTTTTTGAGGGGTTGGGTTACCTTTTGGGAATGGTGTTCTGTGAATACCTGTGCATCCTTCTAGGTAACCATTGTTTAGCATAGTTCTCCTTAGGAAACCCTCTTCTTCCTTTAGTGTATCTAGATAACAAATGTTTCTCGCCAGATGACATAAGGGTCTCACAATTTCATATTTGTACGCCATGGGGTAAAAGCTACAAAATTGTAGGTATTGATCGTTCCATGCAACCTTTTGGTAAACTGATCGTTATAAAGTCCCATTTTTTTACCTCGCAACTTTTCTGCCTGGAAGAGCTTGAATGTTGTTGGTTTATATTTCATGAGATCCAGAGGTGCGGATGAACTGAGTTAAACTATTGCCAGTGTTTTAAAATGTTCATCATCCGTAAGGATAAAAATATCGTCCACGTAATGTCTGTACCTGGTGGACTTGGAAATATCATCACCCAGTTTCTTCTCAATCATTCCTAAAAAAAAACATTTGCCCAATGGACCCAGTGGATCGCCCATTGCCACGCCATCGATCTGTTTGTATGTGGTCCCTTCAAGCTAAAAACGAATGTTTTTGTGCATATAAGAATGAGTTCTCTTACATATTCAAGAGGAATATTAGGGAGAAAATTGTTTGAAGAAATATAGTCACATAAAAAATCAACTTTCTCACAAAGTGGTGCATTAGTAAAAGGGGAATTCACATCTGTCGAAAATAAGATTGTTTTGGAGATTTTGCGACATCTGGCATCAATTCTATCTCATTCAACAACTAATTCGATTGCTTGGCCAATTTGATTTGTGTCTGACACGTCATATTCATACGCTAGAATTGGTTTATTGCTTGTTATCGCAAATGTTAGGTGATTTGATCGTTTACACTGTCTCCGTGTATATTTATGTGTATCTTCACAAAGTCATCCAATCTGATTGTTTTGTTGTGAATCAGGAGAAAAGTAAAAACTTGTATAACTCGGTGTCTCGAACTCACCCATATTCCGGGTGATTAGATACAATTGATCCAGATCAGACGATCCAGGCCACAAAGGCGTCCCCGTGATCATTTCAGCGAATACGCAACCGATTGCCCAAACATCCACTGGAGGACCGTATTGTGTATCACCAACCAGCAGTTCCGGTGCTCGATACCACCGCGTGGCCACATAGTCCGTGTATTCACCTTCCGGTCCGGCTGCAGTTCAAAGACAGAATCGCATAACAAAATGTTAGTGATCTAATCCGCCCTGAATAGATTTGTACACCACTTTGGGCACAGTCCCTATGAGTGCTTTTTTATTCTAGCTTATCTGATACAAAAGATCCTGTAGCTTAGTAAATGGGAAAACGCCTTTGTGGAGAGGGGTATTGTTTCAGTTTTGTATCGAAATGATTTGAAAGTTTTGCCGGTACGCTTTGGTAATACGGCCCATGGAATATTAATACCTATAGACGGTTATCTCAAATTGAAACATATTCTCCTATTTTCTAAACATTTGTGACTTTTACCAAAAGATGATTTTTTTAAGTAACTTTTGCGCTTGTTGTCACATTTCATTTAAACATGTGTAACTTGTTTTAGAGAAAGGTTGCATTTATCATTGTTTTTATCTTTAGATTGTAGTTGAATAACAAATTTCAAAGCAAACCGTTTATTCATTAATCATTTTTCCATTTCAATTCCAGCTACAAAGAGAAAACGAAAATGCGACTGATTTTACAAAAATGGTATGCACAACTTTGAATGATACATTTTGCTCAACGGTGAATAAGAATTGGAACAAATTTGATGGGCAAAGAGGTATGGAAGCACAGAATTCGTTGTTATGACCAAGTAATGGAATATCCTATCGCCCAAATGGAGGCTCAATAGCACTTTTTATGTTTTGCACCCCGTGACAAAAATCAAACTGGAAACATCCGGGTTGGTGATGGAAACGCTTGCATCCCGGTTGTATGTTGGTCAAGGGTTGACCCATTCGGATCGTGCAAGCATCAAGCACTCTTTCATGGTCTGGAGTTGGAATTTCACCTACTGGGTTCTTAGTAATTCACTCAATAATAAAACCTCCCATCAGAGACCGTATAGCAGTGCCTGGTGCATGTACATTTTGAATATAGTAAACTATGCAACAGTATTAGGAACGTGAGGTACAAAATTAAAATAAGGTTATGAGAGGATAGTGTGGATAATTGAATCAGTTAAGTGACATTCAAACAAGCAACCTAGATGACAGAAGTTGTCTCAAAATTGCCTTATGATTCTAATTTTATGCTACTAAAACGTTATCTCTTGAAGGAACCCTAGTATCAGTTCACTATGTTGTTTCCTAAAGCCATTAAATTCATACAAACACTAGGAATTGGCGATTGGTTCTCCTAACTGAGGCTATACACCTACTCCTCTTGAAAAATTAGATGGAATTAGCAGTCTATGAAAGTTTCCTCGATATACGTTTGTTTAAGGAGCAGTACTTGATTCCAGCTGACATCACTGAATATTCCTTCAACCATTTTATTTAGCCAATGATTCATTCTCGACACTCTTGAAAGGTAGGCTGATAAACAGTTCTTCATCTTCATTAACGATCAGCATAGGTTTTGTGTGCACTAAAAACTACTCACAAATGTGAGTAGCATTCTCACAACAGCACGATTGTTCAGTTATATTTATTATTTCTTTCCAAGATGTCACTCATGATAGCCACATTGCAGTTGTGTCGCTTCCCGGTCTATCGTTACGCTGACCACTGAGTATTTGTGCGATTCAGTTGCATGATTGTACGCCCCGCGCAAGAGCGATCAACGAAGTAGGCTGCGCAGAATGAGTTGACCAACCACGAAGGGACCATCTACTTGGTACATTTATATTTGCTGCAAAGGTAAAGATATATTTGGATAATTGTATAAGTTTATGCGAAATACAATCGTATATTTCACAACCTATTAGCTGAGCTTCTTGTCCGGCGAATAATAGATTGTGGGATTCTCATTTGACCTTCGGTTTGGACATGGAGGCATGTCTTAAACGCAAGTTGCCTCGTCAGTTCTTTGTTCATCTACCTTTTCTCGATTCTTTCATCACTTCACCGTCCTTGGATTGCCAATTTCCGTTTATATGAACAAATGTTTCGCGTATTTGTGTATTGAATTAAAAATAATGCACAATTAGATTTAATAAAATGTAATAATAGTTTTATGAGGATAGGATATTCTGCAATATTTTACATAAATTGCCTATGCTAGAAAACGCATCAGTTACAGATGAAGTGTTTTCCTCGGGTCACCAACATATAATTTGCTGCTTTATAGAGCACGTTTTGATGCCATTACGATTCCATTATTACCAAAAAGACGCAATACCGTTGTATTGTGTTTGAGTGAGACATGTGTTCTGTACAACGAGAGAAAGCATGTAACTTTATCATGTGCGTTAATAGAAGAGAATATTGTGGTTCCTGAACAAGTACAGCTCGTTTGATGTTTTCCCAATCATGCCCCCGGAACACTAACAATTAACCTAACAATTGGGTAGTTTAAGAAATAATACGAAGCAATGTTACTCATTCTAGAGACTCGCTTGGTCCCTCTCGGTGAGATTGGAGAAACCCAAAAGCTATCTTCATACAATCCGGTTATACAACTGAGAACGCCTCGGTAACCTGTGGTAACGCAGCGCTTGGCAGCCGAACCCGGGTATGATTGACAGTCGTAATATGCCGAGTGAGAACAAGGTGAACACATTATTCGTTGCCGATCCTCTATGGATGATTGGCAAACTGGCTTATTTTGTTACAAAACTCATCATACGCTCTCAGTGAATAATGGTCTTCAATGGCGTTCATGTAAATAAGATTATTAACCCTCGCGTATAGTGAATTTCTGGACATTACACATGAAAACAAAGCCCTGTTCTCCCGTGGTTCCGAACTTAATTACTGCTCTCTTTTTGACCGTGCGGTTTCCCTTAGGTTGGGCATTTGAACAAACTTTTCAGGCATGTTAACAAAGTGTAACGTGCCGTAGTACGTTAATTTAAACATCCCGTTTACCTTGCCTCTATATAACCATTTCGTTACTCGTCCTGTCTCTTTACCAATGCCTGATAATGTCGGTGCAAGTTGTTGAAATCCTTTTTAAATTTTATCTACTCCAATTTTCGTTTAACATCTCAGGGACCTAGACCAACGGATTTCTATGTGATTTAACAGCTTTCCGACCGGCAAGTTTTAAAAATTACTTGCAATAAATCAGTGATCAACTCCACTCAAAATATTTGCCAAGAATCGATACCCATCATTCTTTGCCCAATGGTTTCACATTCAACTCACCGTTACTTGTGAGTAGTGGTGTGGATTAATTTATATTGATTTGAACTGACCATCATTGAAACTTCAACTTCGCGCTTCCCAGTTTCATGCTTGACAGGGAGAACTGAGGATTGTGCGTGAAGGTGAAGATTGCAGGATGATCAGTTCTATTCCTCGATGTCCGAATTCTTTTTAAATCGCATATAGGCGTGTCGAACAGACACAATACGCCATGACATATTTTGACCTGGCCAATCACACAAACCGCTTCCATTCTGCACATTTCCGAGCAATGTCGGTCACGTGCAAAGCTGTGACATTACCATTTGTCACAGTTCTCCTTTTTCCTCTTATTTTATAAAATTCTTCCACGGAATCACTTTTATCCTATCCATAATCAAGAATTTACCTTTAATGACATGAATTTACTGGAATAGTTGAATTTCCTAATGTCACATATCCATGGCTCCTTTTCCCAAATCGTCACTGCAGTCTGGATTCTCAGTCAGACTGATTCTATATGTAAGCACTTGATTTACATTTGGTCTAATTAGCTCAAACACCGTTCTCCCGAAAACTCGGTTACATATGGGTGCGACAGCAGTCAACCATCCTGACTTGAAGCCAGTCATTTACTTGACATTACTCGTTACGGGTTTTGTGAACCCAAACATATCGAACATTTTCTTTATTTAGACAGATATGTTCTGATATGTTCCCGTTGTACCCGGACTTTAGCCGAACGATGGGCATATCACAAGTGGTTTTACGCTTACATCTTATCCTGAAGGTGGAGATAACGACCTCCTGCATTGCATACCAAAACAGCAGACTGTTAAAATTGTAAATATTACGATATTGTGGTTTGTGTAGATATTCCACATCGATTAAAATGAAACCGACTTGTGAATTGTAACCCGTGGAAAGCAAAATATAACATTTCAACGGAACCTCATGTTACCGACAAACCATGACTGTGATGGTCATATGGAAATGCGTACACGTAGAAAAGCGTTAACTTCTGATTAGTAACCAAAGGTAAATTTTGAAGGTGAAATTACGAATACTAGTCCATTGTTAGACAACCCTTACAATCGCCATCTTCAAGGAGTATTTGATTTCTATTTAAGCAGGGTATTCCATAGGTACCTATCCCTCGGGTTAGAATTGCGTTCTAGAAGTATATAGCAGATGAAATGTGGTTTGGTTTTCCCATTCACCTTACTTATCAGGATCACATTTCGAATACTTTCTTACGAGGATTTAACTATAAGTGTATAGTACTATCATTATCAAGCCTACATGCGATAAAATGAATATTGTTTCAAAGAGTGTTCCGTGTAAGGCAAACGCCAGAAAATCGTGAATGCTCCATATTGATGCCCCTAAGGTTAGCGTTCATTCAAAGCTCCTATGAAAATGACCACGTCTCTAACTGGCAGTGTTCCTCGCCTCGGATTCCATATAAAGTCCATAATAAATCCCATCCAACAGCAGTCCCACCTAGCACATTGCAAGAGCTCGAAGGTTAAGAGTGAGGGGTGTTTTCAACTGCACAGGGCAGAAACTAGATATCGCAGAAAACCATAAAGAACCAGCTGAAGGCCGTAGCATAACCACACGGAGGAAAGTTTCCATTTTCCAGTAGTTAGGGACCAGATTTCGTGTAATGGGAATAATCAATGTTTTCGATTATCCCTATAGATTCCGGGGTATTACAGACAAGCCCAATATTTAGTGAATTGCCATGGACGATAGATGAGATAACACAAGGAATATTTTACAATGATAAACATCATCCCGAAACTTCATAACTGTAAAATTAGAGTTCAAATGATCATTTATTTATTCTCCTTCTCACCCGCTAAAGGCTTTAAACGTTTGTAATCTGTTAGAATATCACCGTAACTATCCACGTTTAACCCTTCTGTGGGTGTACAGATAATATTTAATCAACCACGGTTCACTTCATCATATTTGACCGTAACATTTAACACATATATCTTGATTTACTTCGATTGGCTTCGTAAGCGGAACAAAACTGAAATCAATTCATCAAAAATCAGATTCATACAATCCGTGAATCCTACTGAGTGGTCGAAACGACCTACTTCTTGGGCATTATCTTGTTTTCACGCCAGGGTTCACGTCTATCTTATAAACAATCAATTTCGGACCGTAAGTCAGTTATCTTATCATGGCTGCGTTCGAGTAGCTCCCGACTATATGAATCACCATGCCGTACATGATAATGGAAACCAAGAATCAATGCATTTCTGTTAGTTGAGCAACCTTAGTTTATCACCGTTGGATCATGCAGTAAATCTTGTCTGCCTACTAAGCAATCGCTGAGTTCCTCTCGGTTACTCTCAGCTGACAGGTAAACTGCTTGTTTCATCCACTTCAAACCTCAAATAGAGGTTGACACAATACAAAGATTAGGCAGTTACAATGTACCACATGTGGAAGAGAATATAACAACCCCAATACCCTCAGCACTTTATCAATGTTACTTCAATGGGAATGATTTTCAATAATGACCATAATAGCGCCATGTCTCATCTTTTTTTGTTCATCAAAACAATGATTTTTTATTCATGTCCTGGGAAACTGAGAGCAGAAGCTCATCACTTTGAATGCACATAAGAGGCATCGAACATTATGCTTTCATTTGCAGTCAGACAAAGAATAGATTGGGGAAAGGTTTAAAGTGGTTCAGAACATGTTTGTACTTGGGGTATTCCTCTGAAATGAGTATACATTCATCTCATAGGTTCACATATAAATACAAAACGGCTAAACTGAGCTATAGTTGTTCTGGGATGAGTAGTAATGTCTGTTTATCTCTCTCAGGGCAAGGGATAAATGTGAAAATTATTTGATCAATCCCGGAAGCATTACATTGCCTAACTTCAAAATGGAATGCCAAGGCTGTTTAAGTTAAACAGCTACTTACTACCTTAGCTGTTATTTGTTTTGTAAGTCATTTCATTTACAGATAATCTCTATCTGTACGTATTCTCTGCATACAGCTACATGTGTGGAAAAAACAATGAATTCGGTTTTCATTCGGAATGAGATAAACAATTCACGTCAACCGATGCATCACAACAAGATGAACCATTTGTTGTGCTATTCCATTCGTTTTGGCTGAACTTCCAGTCTTGGTACGTGCTCTGATAACAGACACACGAGAGCTATTCATTTAGTGCACACAGGCTCACAACTTTGTTGGTATTTCGTTTTGAAATGATTTGCACTGTCATGGAAACGGTCAGTGTAATGGAAATTCAACGATCAGAAAAACATGTGTAGCGGGAAATACTGCAAAAAAACCCGCCCACAAAATCAATCTTTCTTTGATGATTAATGTAATTCTCGAGGTGCTCAGAACAAATTAAACATAAAACAAAATTCGTCTACTACAATCTGGAAGTATTTCCGGCAAGGAAACAAAAAACAGGATTGAATGATGTGTAATTGGTTTGTGCAACATGAGCTGTTGCACCGTGAACTTGCAAAAACATCCCAATGTGTGTATCACTCTTCCAAGTACAGTGTGTCTTTCCTAATATCAACATTTTCTTCAAAATATTGTATTCCAACTTATCTCTCGAAAACGCTTCATATCAAACTATGGTAATCCAAAGTTATCTGTTGTGAGTTACTGAGAGCTAAACAATCAAGTCTTCATGAATCTCGAGGGCAAACTCTNGGGGGTTCGCTTCCAAGGAAATGAATATGTGTTAGGTAAATTTCAAAAAAGACAACGTGGAGCATATTCTCCCAGGAAACCTGTCCTATCTGGTTTGATTCCTTCAATGTTCTTGAGCAACGTTCTCGCGGGGAAAATATTGGCATTAACAATTTTGCTTCTTATCGTTTCCTTTTATAAGTGGGTGCTCAAATTACTCACCGGTAGCAATTAAACTCGTTATGGTCTTATTCTGTATTAGCCAGATCTTGAAAATATCTGGTTTAATTACAAATGGTATTGGACGCAGACAGATTCGGTGCAAATATGTCAATAAATGGTCACCTGTTTTGTAAAACGAAAAACGATAAATGGGAGAGCACAAAACTATCTTGACCTCCCACTATACCGAACACGGTTAGAGGTTCCGTAATCTCTAACTGGGTTCTCGAGAGCCCGACTGATTGTGAAGTATTCACGAGGCAGTCGAGAGCTGGTTTTCACATGCATGAAACAGTGGAGTACATTTTCGGCAGTGTCCCAGTTGCGTGATACTCTACTATGCATCACTGGGACAGAGAAGACAGATTTTCTCCGGAAAAATGTAAATCATTCTTGTTTTTTTTCTAGTTCTCTATTAATGGTAGCTACGTGGCAATTTATGTTATGTTGGTCTTCACCTGGTATAGTGGAGGCTACTCTGTAAGAAACAATATAGCAATTTATTTATTTTAAAGCATTATGTACATTTTAGGGCTCAATATTTGTTCAAATATTTTATATAGGATCCTCCAATATGAACTTTTGTTAAGGATGGTTCAGCGTTTTCCACCTATAGCGTACTGATGTAAGTTAGTTGTTCTCCCCAAGCGAATAGATTGCTCCGGTATCGAATGATTTGAATATTGACACTTTCCGAGAACAAACCACCGCTCAAACAAACAAAATCATTAAATGGAATGGTTGACTAGTGATAGAAAATCTCACTGATATTGTGCTAAAGGTAACACATAAACCCTCATTTAGATATAGATATCGGGTGTCGCACTGATCACTGTTCTGTCGGCAACTGCAAGCGTTTTACGGAATCCGTTAGTGGAGTTAGTGGATGCATCAATGACAGTTGCAACTAGTGAAAACTTCCGACAAGTAGTAACACACATGTAATACATGGCCTGTAAATAAACCCTAGCTACCGAAAGGTGTTTCAGTATCGGCGATCGCGAACGACCTTTCCGACACTGTGATAAATTAAAGATTGGTAATAGACAATGTACTGAAGGAGGAAAGCAAATTCGCGTTGTTGTGGGATTCAAGACCAGTATCATAACCAATCGAGAATGGATAAGAAAAACCCCAGTGCAAAGTAAGGCATACAGGTGACCTCAGAAAGTGATCACAACGAAGAAAATTCGGAGGGGAATGAGATGGAAACTACAAAGCTTTGGCGAAAATTTGTACCAGAATTTTCAGTGTAATGCATCAGAGAAGCAGAAGAAAGGAGACAAAAGTGAGTGAATCCGTGATTGCTCGCTTACTTCCTGATAAAATTAATCACCACTCAACGTCTGTTCGTTTAACATTTCAATCGCGACGGGTGCCGTTGAGTTACAAAGAAAAAATCATAAAATTAGTTCGGTATTGAACCTCTTAGCATCTCTTCCAGGATGAAGCCTCTCCGGAGCGAACAAATTGGCCTTCCAGAGAGATGTCCTTTGTCAAGAGAATGAACACTGAGCTGGTTTAACGATGACTTCATCAGATGCACCTCGTTTGATCAAAAATAAGATTTACATTGGTTTCCTAGAAGGTATTTGATAAAACATGCAGTTATATTGGGTCCAGAATATCAGGTCTATATGCATTTTACATAAGGCGACGCATTGGAGTATCCAGAAATACAATACCCGCTCAAAGGCTTATATCCGACATTTTTGTATCGAGGACATCTGTCCAGTGCATTTGTAGATCAACCACCGTGAGAATGATAGTATTCTTTTTTCGCGCCAAAGATGGTCCATTTGAAGAAGACCCTTAAAATCGATCCTTACTTCGGAATTTCACTCATCGTGTCTAGACAGTTAGAGAGGAAATAAAACACTGCATTAAACTTAGACAAAATCATTTGTTCTCCCTCTCGTAGGCAAAAAAGAAGGATATATTTGAATTTTTGGAATAAATCACCAGAAAACAACCTAATGGATCGTGGATAAACCCTACCCAATAAATGGATGCACCTTGTAAATGATGGCACTGAAAGAACAGCAGCGTATCACCATGTGATGCCTTGAAACTCTATGAACGAAAGTATCCCTACAAAGTTGATTTTTGCACCTTAACTATCATCAATAAAGTCAAACGGCGGTAATAATAAAATAAAATGAGATGCCAGTCAATAACTGAAGATCACCTCTGTAATGCGCCGGAAGACTTTGCAAACCAAAGCTTATAATCTGATCACATTTCCATGGCGGACCTCATTATTCATGAAAGAAGCCTTTGTGCAGCGGTACGGGGGACTTCTCAAATGTCAACTAAGGTAATCAATATATACCTGGCCCACCTTTAACTCGCAAGTGGTTATATTATTTCAATAAACTTGGTATGGAAGTGACAACAATGATGAAAGTGCCACCCTCTCTTGGTGTATGACTTGTTCAATGTCTGGAAGTATTTTTCCGCATGCGCATGCGTTCTGATGCGAACTAGAGCAAATCAGTACACCATGCGACAGGTTTACTAAAATCTGAAGATGATTGTCTGCACAGTAGTTTACTAATGGGTTTATCTAAATTACTGTAAACGAATATAAATATTTGCACGCAGTCACAAAAACAGCCACGGGAAATTGATCAAACACCTCATGTAGATTGAGGATACGTTACACCAAAATACTGTTCACGGAACACCCTTTTCATTGATAAAATTTGTTTGAGACAGGGAGTATGAGAACTTACTTAAAAATCGCGCAAATCCAAAGTCGCACAGCTTCACCTCATTGTTCCGGCTGATCAAGATGTTCTCCGGTTTGATGTCGCGATGAATACACTGTGAAACGAGAAGATCACATTCGGATTCAGGTCTTATTTGTCAGTGCAGCAAGGTCACAGCCTCAAAAGATTCAAAGGTTCAAAGATTTATTATGGGAATAACTTAAAAGCTCATGCTTTTCTGGTCCCATAGGTTCGTGCGGTGGAGTAAGAAACAGTGATACATACAATTCTTTGTGTAAAATGTCACGTGATACGTGCTTTTTCCACTGCTGCACGCAGCTTCACTTATGTTGGAATGTAAGGTGTGCTAATGTT